CTCCCGTGCCTCCTTGGGGTAATTGGGCAGCTCCAGGGGGAAACGAGCCCATTTGGCTAACAACTTGACAAACTTTGTACAATATTTGCTGCAAATATAGAACAGTGGTTGCAACAATGATCTATAGGGTCATATTTTAATCAGATAACATCACACAGAGGCAAGGGGGGGAGAGAGTCAGGGGTGCACAGCGAGCCCACCACAGTCCCAGACTGCACACCGGGGGGATCTAGTCACATAGAGTGTTGGGGGTTCTTAAGAATTGGCTTGTTTTGGCCTTGTTTTGAAATGGGATTGAAGATTGATTTTTGGCTTATTGTGAAAGTCAGGGTGCTTATTACCACGCGAAAGTTGGCAACTGTGGGCTGGTATTGCAAAAACACACACATTCCTAGGAAGTGCTAGGCACCAGATACTCACACAAACACATTCCAGAAGGGTGGTACCAGAACACCCTGACACCAAGTATGGTACAAACACCCTCCCCAAAGATAACAGGGACACGTGGTCAAGATAAGGTCAAGATGACAGGGTGATGAATAGAGATGTTTTGAGTGATCGAACATATAATGCAAAGCTAACCACGTCAGGGGGCAACACTTGTATCGGTATATAAAGAGGGAATGTCTTTGGCCAGCCAGTCACTGAGCTGAGGCTATTGTCTGTGGCATACATAGATGAAGTGTACTTGTAGCAGTAGAAGCTCAGCGTTACGAACACCTCGGGAAAGGAGGTTGCTCATAACGCTGAACATCATGGTTGTGCTTTCAAAAGTTGACAACTGAACATTGACTTAATGCAGCTTTGAAACTTTACTATGCAGAAGAAAAATGCTGCTTTTAACCATCTTCATTTAAATGAAACAAGCACAGAAACAGTTTCCTCACCTGGGCGAATCTTTTTTTTTAAACGTTCCCCCCCCCCTTTTTTTTTTAGTTATTTTTTTTTTAAACAATTCTTTTACAGTTTTTGCTTTTTTTTTTGGTCTCTGCCGCCTGATTGCGTAGTTCCAGTTCCAAGTGAGGTGTGTGATTGACCGGTCATTTCGTAACCCTGAGGTTCTCCTGTATAGGGCGCTAATACGGTGCTTCGTTGACAATAAACCAGTCTGGGTGCAGGGCCGCCCCGGGGGGGGGGGGGGGAAGGGGGGCAATTTGCCCCGGGCCCCACAGGGGCCCCCACGAGAATATACTATTCTATATATATATATATTATATATATACTATTCTATATTCTATAGTATTGCAACTTTTTTTTTATGGAAGGGGCCCCCGCTCTTGCTTTGCTCCAGTCCCCCTGAATCCTCTGGGCGGCCCTGTCTGGGTGCTGTCGCTGCAAACCAAGTCTGGTGGTCGTATTGGGCAGTTCAATCGGTGCCTGCTGTACGGGCTAGCTGGTTAGAGCCAGTGCAGCACCCTCCTCCTGCACCCCTGCCCCAGCCTCACCCCCTCCTGTACCCCCACCCCCTGCCCCATCCCGGAGCCTGCATCCAAACTCCGTCCCAGAGCCTGCACCCCTCACTCCCTCCTACACCCCCAGCCAGGAGCCTGCACTCAGCACCCAAACTCCATCCCAGAGCCTGCACCCCAGACCTCCTACCCCATGACAGTGCCTCATGTGCTGGGGTTGCTGGACCGCCCCGCCCCCCAGAGCTGCACCAGTGCCAGACAAAGCGATTTATGGGTTGTGGTTCACCGTGTCCAAGTTCACAAGACGTTCTGGGCAAATTTGCCTGCCCCTTGGCCAGTCCCCAAGATTCCCAGGGCGCTAGTCCAGAATCCCACACTGCTTCCTGGAGTCTATGCTGTTATCAGAGGCAACAGCCCTGCCGTTTGCACAGCCCAGAAACAGCCAGGGCCAGCAATTTCCCTTCGCAAATGGAGCACTTGCCTTTGCAAAGAAAATTGAGGCCCCTCTGATAGCAAGGCCCAGCGATAAGGGCGATCCAGACCAGAAAATGCTCCACAGGGTTTATACTGCCCACCACTGTTACCAGATTTGCCCGTTACTTTGGGGTACGCTCATTTATTAGGTTTCAGAGTAGCAGCCGTGTTAGTCTGTATCCGCAAAAAGAACAGGAGTACTTGTGGCACCTTAGAGACTAACAAATTTATTAGAGCATAAGCTTTCGTGGGCTAAAACCCACTTCATCTGATGCATGCAGTGGAAAATACAGTAGGAAGATATATATATACACACACAGAGAGAACATGAAACAATGGGTGTTACCATACACACTATAACGAGAGTGATCAGTTAAGGTGAGCGATTACCAGCAGGAGAGAAACAAAACGTTTTGTCGTGGTAATCAAAATGGCCCATTTCCAGCAGTTGACAAGAAGGTGTGAGGAACCATAGGGGGGAAGAATAAACACACCTTCTTGTCAACTGCTGGAAATGGGCCATTTTGATTACCACGACAAAACGTTTTGTTTCTCTCCTGCTGGTAATAGCTCACCTTAACTGATCACTCTCGTTATAGTGTGTATGGTAACACCCATTGTTTCATGTTCTCTGTGTGTGTGTGTATATATATTTTCCTACTGTATTTTCCACTGCATGCATCCGATGAAGTGGATTTTAGTCCACGAAAGCTTATGCTCAAATACATTTGTTAGTCTCTAAGGTGCCACAAGTACTCCTGTTCATTTATTAGGGTTACTTTTCTGGGTGGGAGGTTTCTGTAATTCTGTCAGTGTACTGCTTGTGTCACTTGTGTTCTCATATGGAGCTTTACTTCTCCCTACTGCAAGTCCCCTTCCAGTGGAGTTCTCCTGCAGGACCTAGGGTCCCCAGGGCTCCGTTCTTCCAGCCCCTGAATCAGCCGAACACCCACACACACATTAACAGAGCGTGGCTGAGAGGATCGGGTTAATCAGCACTCCCAAGCTGGCCCCTTATATGTCCCTGGACTCAGTAGGCTGGCTCGAGCAGCATTTCCAAGCTGCTACCCTCATATGTCCCAAGTTCAGCATGTCCCTATCCCCACTGTCACGTTACAATTGTTCTGGCACTAACCCACTTGATGAGCAAACCCCACTGGATTTTTGGCCGCTGCAGGGATCTTTAGCTTAAGTACGAGGAGTGTTGCTGCAGAGCGAATGGGGAAGCCAAAAAACCACCCACGAGGGGGAGAGAAGCAACCAGCTTAACCATGACAGTGATTTATTGCCAGGTAATAACCACAGGGCAGCCAACCAAACAAAACAGTTATAATATTAAATCTAACTTACATTTGATTATAAAAGTCAGGTTTAGAAAACTATAAGTGATCACACAAGTCAGGTCAGAAGGCTACACCTAGAGAGAGAGAGAGCTGGGTTCTCACCGCTCCGTGAAGCTTGACTCGATCGGGGTTCCCAGGTGCGGTGGTAGCTGAGGGTCCAGAGTGCTGGAGACAGGCAGAGCCCCCAGCACGATCAGTCAGGAGCAGGGGTGGCAGGTTTGTAGAAATTTTGGTGGTGCCTAGAACACCCAGAGCCTGCCCCCCCAAACTCTGCCCCCCACCTGCCTAAGGCTCTGGGAGGGAGCTTGGGTGGGGGGAGGAGGTCTGGGGTGCAGGCCCTGGACTGGGGCAGGGGATTGGGGTGCAGGCTCTGGGAGGGAGTTTGGGTGCAGAAGGGGTGAGAGGTTGGGCTCTGGGAGGGAGTTTGGGTGGGGGAGGGGATCTGGGGTGCAGGCTCTGGGATGGAGTTTGGTTGCAGGATCTGGGTTAGGGTGGGGGGTGCAGGCTCTGGGACGGAATTTGGGGATGGGAGAGGTGCGGAGGGCTGGGGTGCAGGCTCTGGGAGG